TCCTAGTTCCCGGATCGCTGAGGTGTGTGCTCCTCCTGCCTGCATTCCAGCTCCTGTACAGCCAAGGACCCGGATTACCCCGCTCATCATACCCTTCGAACTATTCCCTCACCATCACATCCTCTGAACCCTACCCCAGTACTCTCTGTGACCCAATAAACCTATTTGATATAAACTAACCTGTTGCGTCAGACCTCTTCTGTTACAGAAGACCGGACCCACACCGACGGCACAGATGAGTAACCCCGACCCATTCCAGGAGCTCGTAGACTCACTACGACGAGTGCTACACAATCCACCGCCTGTACAGCCAAGGACCCGGATTACCCCGCTCATCATACCCTTCGAACTATTCCCTCACCATCACATCCTCTGAACCCTACCCCAGTACTCTCTGTGACCCAATAAACCTATTTGATATAAACTAACCTGTTGCGTCAGACCTCTTCTGTTACAGAAGACCGGACCCACACCGACGGCACAGATGAGTAACCCCATTCCAGGAGCTCGTAGACTCACTACGACGAGTGCTACGCCATCCACCGGCATCGCCGCTATCACCACCCATCACCTCATCCATCCCAACCAGCACTTCTTCGCCTAACATCAGCGCCAGTCCCATGGCCCGACCGGCGCCCTACTCTGGTTCGGCGGAGGATTGCAACGGATTTCTCCTCCAGTGTAACCTCACTTTTGAGATGCAACCGCAATCATATCCCACTGACATTTCTAAAATTGTCTTTATTATCTCCCTGCTAACAGGACCTGCATTGTGATGGGCGGAAACATTCTGGACTCAGGCCAGCCCCGTTATTCACAATCTGCTGAACTTCATGGTGCATTTTCACAAGGTGTTTGTAAGGACAGACGGAGATACCACCATGGGAGAGCAACTCTACCATTTGCAGCAGGGTACCATGTCAATTGCCGAATACTCGCTGAAGTTCAGAACTCTCGCAGCAGCAAGTGGATGGAATGAGAGATCGCTGCTGACTACTTACAGAGAGGGGCTGCTCGCTACATATGATGATTCATTTGGATTGGAAAAATTAATTCAATTGTCCATCCGTTGTTCAAACCGCATGCAGTCCTGTTTAGCAGCAACACCAGTCCCCGCCACAACCTCCTCCCTCCGCCGACCAGAGCCTGGTTACCCCCCAGAACCAGAACCAGAACCCATGATCGTGGAGAAGCAACGATTATCTTCCGCTGAGCGGCAGAGAAGGCTGACCCGGG